GCAAGAAGAAAAAAAAATAATGTGCAACTTCAGACATGCTTAAATGTCTAGAATTACAATAAATTCAAAAAGGTAAGAAGTTATCTCTACATCATATATATTAGCCCACTGGTTTGTTGTTGTTTGTTTTGTTTTGTTTTTCCAGCACCAATAGAGTGCATATCAGTCGAGACAGAGAGAGCCCACTGTTTTTGAAAGTTAAAGAGAACTTTGTTTATTCCACCATCTATCAATAGATAAACTCTCTGAAGGTAGATACTCAGTTTTTACTTTCTTTTTTATTCTGCTTGAGTATGTTGAGTATGTAAGGGTCTTAGAAGACCCTTCATGTTAAACATGTTTCATGTTTAAACCACACTATGAATCAGACTACTATCCATCTTTTTCTATATTGTGTGATTCCCAGAGCATAAAATAGTATTATAATAATGGCCCTAGAAGTTTTCTTCCCAATTGCTTATAACTATAGCTTCTTTCAAAATAAATGGTTTGTAAAGTCTTAAAGTGACATAATCTTTTTTTTAGAGAGAGTTTTTTTCTGTAGGGCACATGCACTTACTGGAGAGACAGAGAGACAGAAAGGGAGAAATCATCCCCCAATGGGGACAGCTACACCAAAATTCCTTCTCCTCTATTCTCCTCTCACAATTTTGGGCACATATGCATATGTACCTACGTGAGTTTCAAGCTGCTGGGTCTAGGACTCAAACCACAGTCGTTCGTGTGGGAGTCTAGTGACATAACCATTAGGTCATCTGCTGGTCCCACATAATGTTCTTTATTTTTTATTATCAAGTATTTCAAACCTGTCTACCAGATTAGAGCATGATAAAATAGCCACTCTTGTACTTACTTCCAGCCGTAACAGAACTTCGTCATATTTGCTTCGAAGATTTTGTTTTCTTTTTTAGAAGTAAAGAAATTTTCAATACACTTAAGGTTTTCTGTATACTCTCTTACCTTCTAGGTAACTACTAGATGAATTCAATGTCTTTTATTTTTATCCAGGTCTTATATTTTGACTATGTTACTATAATGGTCTGAAATTGTTTTGCAGATTTTTTATTTGATATGTGCATTCTGGAATTTTTATTGGAATTACCTTGAATTCATGGAATAATTTGTAAAGATTTGCAATTTTCTTCTCTTTAGTCTTCCAGTTTATGAACACAATTTATCTATTTATTGTAATTTTTTTAGTCATAATAAAATATATTGGTATTTTATACTCTTCAGAATTACTTGTTTTGGTTTTTGTTTGCTGCTGCTTGTTTATTGCCATAGGGATTTCTTCTGCATTTCACTCTGAAAAGCATCAAAGAATTTTGTGCTGATTATGCTAGAAGTAAACATCCTTCCGTTTTAACTCTAGATCCCTATCCTTTGTAAACCTGAAGGTATTTAAGCTGAGTCAGGACAACCTTGCTCTAAGGATCTGCTAATCTTGTAGTGGGAGGTAAGGAGTGGCAAGGTGACTTAGTAGTTTTGTTTATTTGTTGGGGGGGTAGGGTTTAGAGAGATTTTTGCTATAGGGCACATGCACTCACTGCAGATACAAACAGAAAGCGAGAAATCACCCCCCGGGGAAATGGCCACACCGCAATGTCTTCTCCATTCTCCTCTCAGGATCTTGGGTACACGCGCACACATGCTTAGTGTGAGTTTCAAGCCAGTGGGTCCAGGACTTGAACCGCAGTTGGCCATGCGGGAGTCCAGTGATGTAACCATTATGCCATTTGCTGGTCCCAACTTAGTGTTTTTAATGGACAGAATTTAATGAGTTCTACTGAAAATAGACCATTAAGTATAACAAAATTTAAAAACATTTTTAAAAATGTCTCCAACCCTTCCATAAAAACCTGACAACATTGGATTCTTAGCTTGTGGCAGATGCTCTTAAGTGCTTGACTTATTTCAGCTCATGGCAAGCTTATGATGTAGGTACTACATACATCACGATGCTCTTGACAGCCCTCTGATTTGTCAGTTCTATTGCTGACGTTACTCCCATTTTTCAAAGGAGGAAACTGAGGCATATATAAATAATTGTCCAGAAAAAAAAAAAAAAAGGCTGTTTATAGCATGAACTAGAACTTGCCCAGAGTTCCAGGGCCAGGAAATGGTGCAGCTGGGTTTCATTCCAGGCTGTTTGGCTCCAGAGCCTGTGCTCTTAGCCTCTGTTAGTACTGCCAGAGGACAGAACACACAGAGTACTCGTGTGTCCTTGCTGCAGTTTCATCCCATAGGTAAATATTTTTACCATAGGTTAATATTTTCATAGTATACACTTCACTTTCTTTCCTGTCATTTTATTCACATTAAGTTACCAAAACTGCTTTTTAATGTTTTAGTTTCTACTAGAACACTTTACATTTTTTTCTATTGGGAATGGGATTGTTTTTCTATTACATTTTTAAATTGTTACTAAGACAGAGAACACTTATCCCTTTACATATTTGCTTCTTTTTACACAGTACCATTTGCTTCTTTTTACACAGCAGTGTGCTTGAACTTGGATTAGTTTTCTTGAACTTTTACTAGCTTCTATTGAGCCTCTTGTGTTTTCAAAGAGAACATACAGGTATGAGAAAGGATACCATGACAGTAAGAAGTATAGATTTTATAGTCATTTATCTAGGTTTGAGTTTAGGTTTTGCTCTTCATTAGCTATATAGTAACCTTAGGTCACTTGCTTATCCTCAACTTTCCTCATTTATATAATCCCTCCACATGGGACTACTATGGGATTTAAAGAAACACATAGATTAGTGTCTGACAAATAAGGAGAATTTGTATCTCTTCCTGTTAAATTTTTATATTTGCTAATTTCCTTTGTTAGTTACATCTTCTGGTAGAGTATTGAATAAAAGCAGTAGTGTAGACATGTTTATCTTGTTTTTAACTAGGGCCTAAACTAGTTTCTTCCAGCTCTTTAATATGATACTAATTGTGGGACCAACAGGTGGCACTAGACTCCAGCATGGCGGGCCACAGTTTAAGTCCTAGACCTGGCAACTTGCTCGCTCGCTCTCTCTCTCTCTCTCTCTCTCTCTCTCTCATGCTTTACAGCAATATTTAAAAATAATGCTAAAAAAAAACAAAATTAAGTTGGAGCATTGACACAGCACTGCCTGGTTCATCAATCACATAACGTAATCCTCTTGTGCTTAGTTCCTTCAGTTCAATGTTTTGAAAGAGTTAGTGATTCTAATAATTGAATCATCACAATTTTGCATATATTAAAGACATTGACACATGTAGAGTTTCTAAAACAATGTCTGGCATGTAAAGATAATAGCTTAATAAATGTTATTACTCTTTTTTTGAGAGGTTTTTGTTATAGGGTGCATGCGCTCACCAGAAAGACAGAGAGAGACAGGAAGCGAGAAATCACTCCCCAGGAGGAGACGGCCATGCCACAACCCCTTCTCCTCCATTCTCCTCTCGGGATCTTGGGCATGCACACACATGCGCCTGGTGTTGAGTTTAAGCAATCGGGACCGGGACTCAAATCGTAATTGACTACATGGGAGTCCAGCGACATAACCATTACGCTAACTGCTGGTTCCCAAGGACTCCCACATAGTCGACTGCGGTTCACATCCCGGACCCGGTGGCGTAAAACTCACACCGGGCATGTGTGCGTACGTGCCCAAGATCCCGAGAGGAGAATGGAGGAGAAGGGATTGTG